AAAAAAAAAAAAAAAGCAAAAACAAGCAGAAAAGCTAGATTACACACCCTCCTTCTTTACTCAAAATGATCATGTGAATCATCACAAGACCATTACCATGGTCTCTGATTCTACTACAGATATAAAAGCAACTTTTTAGAAATCAGTCACACAGAAATGAAAGGATATTTCTCTGCTCATCTTAATTGTGTAACTCTTTCTATTGACACGAACACTAGTAATACAACCTAAGAACACAAAACAGTCTCAACACGAGCTAGTACGTGACTAAACCACCACTATACTTCCTACTGATGCATCACACACATCCATCGTGGCTATTCCATTTTCAGAAACTCTGAGTAAGGCCGGGGGCGGGGGCTCACGCCTGTCATCCTAGCACTCTGGGAGGCCGAGGTAGGCAGGTCGCTCAAGGTCAGGAGTTGGAAACCAGCCTGAGCAAGAGCGAGACCCCGTCTCTACTAAAAATAGAAAGAAATTAATTGGCCAACTAAATATATATAGAGAGTAAGAAATTAGCCGGGCGTGGTGGTGCATGCCTGTAATCCCAGCTACAGGGGAGGCTGAGGCAGAAGGATGGCTTGAGCCCAGGAGTTGGAGGTTGCTGTGAGCTAGGCTGATGCCACGGTACACTAGCCCGGGCAACAGAGTGAGACTCTGTCTCAAAAAAACAAAAATTCTGAGTGATACAAAATGGATGCAAACAGCATTAGTATCACCATTAATACTAAAAAGATATGTCTTTAGCGCTTTATCTTATATTAAAATGTGAGCACTGTATTGCACGAATAGACAACTGGCAATAAGAAAGTTCAAAAACTGAACAAAAATAGGCAATTCCTTGCTTTCTGACTGTAGGAATTATTTCGCAGCAACGTAAATCGCTTACTATGTATTATAAACACAGACAATGATACCTAAGTCGGAAGGCGGGAAACACACAAGGCCACAGGTGAAAATGTAAAGAATAAAACTACAGAGAATCTAAATGTTTTCTAAAACATATAATATATTGTAGATAAGGATGTTTTGGTTTCTAAAATCTTTATTAAGATTTTTACTGCTCAACACTATATTTAAAAACTAAAGTCCATAAAACCCTCTGACAGGAAGTAAAATGACGGGATTGTTATAATTTCAGATTTACTTGAATTTTTTTAACCTTTTATTATTTCTGCCTAGCTCTGAGAAATAAGTTCAAAGACATTAAAACACAAATTTATACTAGCAATGATAAAAACTGAAAATCTGTACGTTTACTGACAAAAGCACGTGATGCACTAAAAAGCATTGATTAACTGGTATCCAATCCAATGCTAAAATTATCAGTAGTATTTATCACTTGTAGCTCCCATTCCACACACACATACACACACAGAGAGAAGGGAAAAAACTAAACAGCAGAAAACAAGATCTTATTACTATTTTTTTTTTTTTTTTTTGAGACAGAGTCTCGCTTTGTTGCTTGGGCTAGAGTGAGTGCCGTGGCGTCAGCCTCGCTCACAGCAACCTCCGACTCCTGGGCTCAAGCGATCCTCCTGCCTCAGCCTCCTCCTGAGTAGCTGGGACTACAGGCATGCGTTGCCATGCCCGGCTGATTTTTTTTTCTATATATATTGGTTGGCCAATTAATTTCTTTCTATTTATAGTAGAGACGGGGGTCTCGCTCTTGCTCAGGCTGGTTTCGAACACCTGACCTTGAGCGATCCTCCTGCCTCGGCCTCCCAGAGTGCTAGGATGACAGGTGTGAGCCACCCGGCCCCGGCCAATATCCATGTATTATTGATCAGTAATTAGGCTGTTTTCATTCTTCTAAAAAGTCATAGAAACATCTTTTTAAATGTTTCTTTTTTCACTATAGTTTCAAAAAAAATTATAACACTTCGTGAAACCGAAAGGCTAGATTTAAGTAAAGAGATGTAAGTAGCAGGCCCCAAGTACAGCACCTGGCCGTTTCTTCACGCACGTTTCCAAGTACTTACTGATTAAGCAATGTAGGTTGTGGGAGTAACAAGAGTTGTCTGGGATGGTGAAGCTGCCATCGCAGATGGCAACCTGGCTCTCGCCAAAAGGGAGAACGAAGAAACAAAGTTTGTAGAGCAAACATCCCAGCGCCTGTAAGACAAAGGAGCGTGAGTATCCTTAGGGCTCAGGCAGGCAACTCCACCGCAGGACACAAAAACAGCCCCAGGCCCAAAACTAAATATATTATTTTTTAAAAAAAAAAAACCTAATGTTTCTATACTATATCACTCTCTTCACAAATTTTTCTTTTTCTTTTTTTTTCAAGACAATGTTTCCACGGATCTTTTCACAAATTACTGCCTGAACAAATTAATTGTTTTATATTTGAAAAGACACTGAACTACATCATTTCTGTGATTTTTTCCTATCACATCTGTGGGTAGCTGGCTGAATTAATGGCACCATAACTAAAATCAGAAGTGGGCTATTCCTTCTCGAAAAAAATTATACTTTTACTTCTTCCACAAGTAAAATATATATTTAGTACATAACTAGCATATATATATATAACCAACAAAGTAAGTACCAAGGCTCCTTCTAACAGCATTTTAAAAAATTCGCTGTAAAGCCACACGTAAAATTGTGGAATTCCAAACCTAAGTTAGACAGCACAGTTCAACTTATCAGACAACCATAAATAAATTTTTATTGATTACTTAGTAAACACACCTCATTACTTCATATTATAAAAATTAAGTTCTCTATCTCTATATATAAACCTACAGTTTTCACTGCACATTATACTAATTATATTTATAACCTGGGTAAGCTATATTAAAATGTAAAAAGGAAATGAAATAAAAAAAAAATGTAAAAAGGAACCCTGCTTTACTTGCACTGCTTCATAAATATCTTGGCACCGATAAATCCACTTGCTAACAGTGACAGCAAAACACCGTAAAACCCAAATTGCATCTAAAAAGCAGCATACGAAATGTCTAGCTAAGCTGGTAACAGCCCAAACCTGAGAAGCAGGGGGGAAAAAAAAGTGATTTGGGGCTCAAGAAACCTTTACTTGGTGACAAGAAATGGCATCTTCTACAGGTTTTAAGTCGTGTGAAGGCCATTTGCGATTCTAAACAAATTGCATAAAATTATCCAAGCCGTCAGTATACTGTTATTATCAGCAATAGTGAAATTTGGCCTTATCATCTAAAAATTAGCAAATCAGCTTTCTGCTGTTAAATTTTCTCTAGACACCAACTTAGCAAACACAGCCAACTAACAGGCGGTACACTAACTTCCGCAACCGCTATGAAGACCATGACAGCATACTGAAACACCCTGGTTGAGCTCGGCAATATTAATTCACAAAACATTATTTTCATTGCTGTAACAATGTTGCAATGAGAACAGTTTAAAAGCTCTAAAATTTCAATATATTAGTTCAAAAACATCACTGATTCTATGACTAACAAAATGATAAAGATTCTGAATAGAAATAATCAGCTCAGTATGGTTGAAGAAGATTTATGATGCTTTTTCCTATAAGCAAAGACATTTTCACCATATATACAGTAAAATGAACACTGGGCAGCACTACCCACACTAAAAAAAAAAAAAAAAAAATACAGAGTCTCGCATTGTTCCCAGCTAGAGTGAGTGCCATGGCGTCAGCCTCAGCTCACAGCAACCTCCAAACACTGCACAACCATCTCCTGCTCAGCTCGCCGAGCAGCTGGACTTGACAAGCATGCTCCACCATCCTGCTAGGTTTTTTCTATATATATTAGCTTGGCCAATTTAATTTCTTCTATTATAGTAGAGACGAGGTCTTTCCTTGCTCAGCTGGTTACTCCGACCTCCCAGCATCCTCCCCGCCTCGGCCTCCTCCAGATTGCGAGATGACAGCCTGAGCCACCCATACCAGCCAAAAATACTATTAATGGTGTTATATTCATGTTAAGTATACATCACCCTTTCCCCTGTCCAAATGACAGGGTTGGCAAAAGAGATCTCCATTTCAGCCAGTGTTTTGTTTTGGTTTTTTTTTAGAGAGAGTCTCGCTCTGTTGCCCTGGCTAATCCACGGCTAAACCACACTGATTGTAGCTCACTGCAATCTCAGACTCCTGGTCAAGCAGTCCTCCTGCCCTCAGCCTCCTGAGTAGTCTGGACCACAGGCATGCACCACCACTATGCCGGTTAATTTTTCTATATACTAGTTTAATTGGCAATTAATCTCTTCTATTTTTAGTAGAGACCGGTCTCCTCTCCTCAGGTGGTTTCGACTCCTGACCTTGAGCGATCCTCCTGCCTTGGACTCCAGAGTGCTAGGATTAAGGCGTGAGCACTACGCGCGGCCAGCGAACACATTTTTAAATTATCCTGACACTGGGAATGATAGTGGAGATCATTGATGGAAAAAGAAAGAGAAGAAAGAAGAAGAGAAGAGAAGAGAAGAGAGAAGAGAAGAGAGAGAAAGAGAAAGAGAAAGAAGAGAAAAGAAGAGAAGAGGACAGAGAAGAGAAGAAAGAGAGAAGAAAATTTTTTAAATAAATAAAGTATCCCTGACAACTTACGTGCCGACTTGCAACTTACTAAGTCTGTGAAAAGTAACAAAAACAAAGGATTCCCTCATGTGTTATTGATGGCAGCCGTTCTTAGAGGACAGCTGTTTAAACTACTTTCAATGGTTTCAAAACAAGTCCAGCTATGGTGCCTGGCTGTTCACCCTGCTTATTGAAATACTCTTTTCGGGTAATAAGGAATTCAACAGCAGTCACAAAATTAGGTTAAACAAAAAAAAGACCTGCACAATCTACCCCTCCTCTGCCTTCCTTTTATAAATTGAGACCGAATTCAGTTGCTTTCTGCATCACGCATACTCCTGCCTGCGCTGTATATATAAGCCACTCCATCAGTCGGGTGCGATGCTGCGGTAAGCAAACCACAGTGAGTCGTGCCATACGAGGGGGAGGTCTATGAGCGCTATTCAATCAACTAAACATCCTGCAATTCGATTTAATTTATGTTCGGCTAAAACTCAGCTACACACGATAAAAGTTTGGTGAAAGTGTGTATACCCACGGAGAAACGAGATATCTGAGATTTTTGATTATCACCTTGCAAAATTTGTTCTCGAGATTTGTCTGGTGCCCCAAAGCCCAAAGACCAGAGCCAGAAAGAGGAGAAAACAGAGACACTCACGTGGTTTCACACAATACTTGACTATTTTCGAACATTATGTTTAAAATGAAATAGGCTGGCGTGGTGGCTCGTGCCTGTAATCCTAGCACTCTGGGAGCCGAGGCGGCCGGATTGCTTGAGAAGTCGGGGTTTGAAACCAGCCTGAGTGAGACCTCGTCTCTACTAAAAGTGAAAGAATTGACCAACAAAATATAATTACAAAATTAGCCAGGCGTGGCGCATGCCTGTAGTCCCAGCTACTCGGGAGGCTGAGGCAGGAGGAGCTTGAGCCCAGGAGTTTGAGGTTGCTGTGAGCGAGGCTGATGCCACGGCACTCAATCTATCATTCTAGCCTGGGCAACAAAGTGAAGACCTCTGTATCAAAAAAAATGAAATAAATTTGACTTTTCTGTATGCTCTAGAACTATTTCCAAAGAATTTTATTCCTCCATACCTGATAAGGTCACTATCGGAAGATGCGGCTAAACCGTTGTTGGATTTAAATGAATTGACATTTAAAACAGTCCTCTGCTAGTTTATTAAATATAACCAAAAACATATTTTACTCATGAAATAAGTTTTAAAGAAATGTTGACATTCTAACATAAAGTTCAACTCTAAAGAAACATGGTCCAGGCTGGTCCGATGGTAGTGGGTTATCAGAACTTATTAACATTAGTGTCACTAAAGTTGGTATTCAACGCCCCACTGCTAAATTTGACTGGCTTTTAAAAAAAATGAAATAAAATAATTAAAAAGACAGAAAAAAAAAAAGAAAAGAAACATGGTCCGTATCTCGGTAATTCTGTCCAGATATCTATTTATATGCACTAAATGAAAAAGAACTACCATGTACACAAGCCAGTCAGTGGCATGTTCCTTCTGTAATTAGAAAAAGGTATACTTGTGTCAGTTTCTATTTAAAAGATCCTAAAAATACTCCAGAAAATTATTATGTCATTACTTAGGAGTTGATATCCAGCTTTTCTATATTGTGATCGACCAGTATCCTACTCAATCGAAAAAAAAAAAAAAAAAAGTTCACGCCTCATAGTATAATCTAAATCCTAAAAAAAAATAACTATGAAAAAAGGTTACATTACACAGAAGATTTTTATTTGCTTTCTGACACACAAGCCATCCACCTCAGAATCGAGAAGATGAAATGCACTGGTATTTTTCTTCTCCCGGAACAGGAAGCTCTAGTCTGTAGGGCTCTCTCCCAATCAGGAAATGCCTGCAGGGGCCGGGGGCAATCAGGCACCTACACTCGGACTTTTCTATCTTGTCAGAGCAAACTTCAGCCCCTCTCTCGCCTTACCCAGATGTCAGCCTTGGTGGTGACCGGTCTCCCTCCATAGAGGTTGATCATTTCGGGGGCTCTGTATGACAGAGTCGTGTACCTGGCAGCAGACGAGTGGCACGGAGTAGAGATATAAAAAATAATAAATAAAAATGAAAAGACAAATAATACATTGTTTCTACATAAAACACTACCAAAAATCTTTTAGGTCCAATAACATTACATAGACATGTACTATCGCTATTCTTAAAAGCTCATTAAAAACCCGCCAAGGATTAGACAATACGAAGCATCTGTACACATTTGTATTCAACAAGTACGACAGCGCCTCTCGTGAAATAAAAGCTTAATTTCCTTAATTTATTATAAATATCTTAAATAATGACAATGTATTAGAAACAGTTTTCCTTGAATTTCTTATGCGCAATACTATAATTTGACTGTTATAATCACCTTATCAAAATATTTAAGTCTATTAATGTAAAAGCAAAACTTCCACCCTCTCAAAAACTTAATTTACATGTTGACTAAGGAGTGTGTTTCCACGGGCTCTAACATCATACTTCCCATGTGCACATGGCAGTAAACCTCCTTTGAGTTTATTTTTATAATCGTTGTTTTGAAAGTGATCTGGCTGCCACGATTCCAACCACACTCACTAAGCACACTTCTAATACTGTCATCGTGAGCTATCTGGAATCAAAAGGCACTGTGAGTAAATGTTTACCAGTATTACAGAAACCCAAATTCATGATGAAAGTAACATTTTAATGAAGGCGTGCTCAAAAATCCCATGTCAGAAATTACCAGACTGTGGACGGACTTTTCCGTACCATGGGATAATTTAAGATTTACTTTGAGTGCTCACACATTTTACGAGAGGCAACATAAAACTCAACGTTCTACCATCTCCCCTTTTTCCAAACTGCTCTGACCGGAGGAAGATCTGAATGACGCTACCGCAGAGGGAGGACCTGGGAGATGAGAATATAAACCGCCTGAGGGCAGGGTCTTGGTTCGCGGCTAGACCCGACACCAAGCAGGGTGCTGGCTCTGGATAAACACTCGGTCATCGAGTGAAGCCTGACTGTATTCCAAAAGGCAACAGCAAGAAATAAAACGTCCAGCCGGTCAGAGACACCTGGGCAGAACCCTACCGCAGCCGCTAAAAACCATAATCTAATAAATAAATAACAGATCTAACATAATCTAACAAATTTTTTAAAGTTATGAACGTGCATACATGTCTCCCCAAGAAGTCAATGCAATACTTTCTTATCCTTGTGTTCTCCACGACACTCAGGTGTTTACTTAAGGAGTCTGTTTTCATGGAATCTACTAAGTTCCTTGAGACTAAGTGGTCTAAGAAACCCACAGCATCATGCAGACGGACCAGAACAAAACAGCTCTGTCGGAGCTACTTCAAAACACTGCGGAAGTTCAAACGATAGCTCTTAGATAACATCAAACAGTCGAGAACTTGTCAGAAAGCGATGCGAGGCAGATGTAGGAAGTCCTATGCTGACAGATCTCTCTGCATTCTGTATCATTTTATTAACCACTCGGGCCCGGTGCTCACAGTCGCAGGGCGGTCTGCGCCGCGCGTGGACGGCGCGCCCGTTCTGCTCTTGCGTGAGGAGGAAAACTCGAGAGCACCGGAAGCTCGTTTCGCTTCACAGGCAGCTTTCCTTGTCATGTCAAAATCAAGACAGGTAACGTACACATGTGTGTTTTCATCACGTGATTTCTGAATGTTCACAATTTCATTTTGATAAATGAAAAATTAGAAAAGTCTTATCACGGCTGTCGGCTACGGTCGACGCTCGTACCGAACTGGCTAAGATAATCTAAGATTTACAAGCGGTTCCATCTTCTAAAACCAGAAAACAGAGAAATCAGGGAAGGCCCTCACAGGTGCTCTAGCGACCTCGAGAAGTGCAGGATTGAGGCAACGTGCATCAATCTTAGTTTTTTTTTTTTTTTTTTTTTTTTTGAGACAGAGTGTCACTGTGACGCCCAGGCTAGAGTGAGTGCCGTGGCATCAGCCTCGCTCACGGCAACCTCAGACTCCTGGGCTCAAGTGATCCTCCTGCCTCAGCCTCCTGAGTAGCTGGGACGACAGGCATGCGCCACCACGCCCGGCTAATTTTTTTTCTATTTTTAGTTGTCTGGCTAATTTCTTTCTGTTTTTAGTAGAGACTGGGGTCTCGCTCTTGCTCAGGCTGGTCTGGAACTCCTGAGTTCAAGCGATCCTCCCGCCTTGGCCTCCCAGAGTGCCAGGATGACAGGCATGAGCCACCTCGCCCGGCCAGATGTCAATCTTCTTAATGTTAAATAAGAAGTAAAAGAGTCGACGTTTCCAAATAATTTAACCTTTTCTTAACAAGCACAAATCCGCAGTATCGGTAAAAACAAAGATGCTTAACATCAGAAATCACTCAAAAAGACCCTTTTTAATGATTCCACTAATGACTGTGGCTTATTTAACAAATTTCTTTATAAATCTGTTTACAGTATAGATGAAAAACTTGGCTCCATGACAAAAACATATTCATACATTTCCTGCTGAGTTAGGTCAGACATGAAATAATCAGCCTCTGTGGCCTGGGAACATTTTGAAAAAAAATCTACAAGTGGGACATCTAAAACCTGGGTCAGCAGAGCTCGTCTCGGACTCAAGTCAACTAACACTGCTACGAGGCAAAGCGCGATAAAGACAATACTCACTTTTTAATTTCCTCTTCCACTACGTGAACTCCATCTTTTTGAGGATTAAGAAACTTATTAGTGGCACTGCCAAAGTCACAAAGCACATAGTTTCCACTATCATTCAACAAAATATTTTCTACCTTAAGAAAAGAAAATCAGTCGGTTAGTAGAATTTTCAAAGTGGAAATGATCTTTTTTTTTTTTTAATTTTTTTTTTTCGTAAACTGTCTTCCTTTATTTATATTTGCAATATGAAATAAAAACTCGGCACGAACGCACACACACTCACGCCAGCCTGGGAGGAGGGAGCTGGGACAAGGCCACTTGGCAATGGGGCTGGAACCCCAGGCCCTTGGGGTGCAGGGGGGATCCAGCCAAACCCCGATTCAGGGCCCCTGGGGATGTTGTTGTGAGACCCCTGCTCCCCAGGTTTTTTTTGTTTTTTTTTTACAGCCATGTCTTTACACGACGAACACTGAGGGGGTCCGTGACACACTCCTGCCCAACACTCAAACCGCGAGGACAAACCGACCAGGGCGAAAACGCGCCCGGCTGTGTCCACTGCTTCTCTCACTAAGAACAGAGCGGTGCTTACCCCATATCCCGGGAGGAAGCAGGCGTGCGTGGGCCAGAAAACTCCAAATCTTTTCTAAAGCTGCTTTCGTGAAAGAGAAGAACTAGCAGCCAGCAGAGCCCAGCCCCTCTCATTTACTGCACCTCCACCCTTCCCCTTTTCTGAGGCTTCAGCTCATCGAGAGGCAAGTGATGACGAAGGCCGCTTAAACTCCTTCATGTACTGCCAGGACCCTTTCTACTTAAAACATCACACTGGGGGGGCGGGGGTGTGGGGAGGAGGGCAAGGGCGATATAAGTAACCTTAACACTTGTACCCCCCATAATACGCTAAAATAAAAAATAAAACATCACACTGAAAAACACAAATTTTGACTCAACTTGTGGATCAGAGTGGCGGTAACTAAAATAAACAAACTAGGCACACAGTTTCTTGACTGGTAGAAGGGAGGCTCACAGCCCAGCCGGCTACTTACTACCCTGTGTACCCATTGCTTAACCACTTTTTTTTTTTTTTTGAGACAGAGTCTCACTCTGTTGCCCAGGCTAGAGTGAGTGCCGTGGCGTCAGCCTCGCTCACAGCAACCTCCAACTCCTGGGCTCAAGCGATCCTCCTGCCTCAGCCTCCTCCCGAGTAGCTGGGACTACAGGCATGCGCCACCATGCCCGGCTCATTTTTTTTTCTATATATATTAGTTGGCCAATTAATTTCTTTCTATTTGTAGTAGAGATCGGGGTCTCGCTCTTGCCCAGGCTGGTCTCGAACTTCTGACCTCGAGCGATCCGCCCAGAGTGCTGGGATGACAGGCGTGAGCCGAGGGTGGCCATTGCTTAACCACTCTTGGGCTTTAGTCCCCTCATCAATAAAATGGGGAAGATTATGAAACCTACTACACGGGATTGTGGTAAAAATTAAATGACTTAAAACATGTGGAGTGCTTACTTAGATTAGTGTCTGGAATATAGTAAGCACTCAATGAATTATTATTATTACATGTTTTTCCACACTATCTTTTTTTCTCACACTATCTTTTTTGTTATGATAATCATAGATGAGAAATTTCCTTCTGCTCTATCAAAATACTCGTAGTTCATTTACACATTTTCTTTCATGTTTCATTTTAGTCTACTCTTTAAAAAAATTCACACAAAATAAAGATTCATATAAAAATCTACTTAAAACAATCATATTTTGCATACATTCACATATGTAAAAAGAACTAAGCATATAAAAAATAAGAACAACAAAAAACCATAAAGTTCAGTGTCTTTTCTGAATTTTAAATCAAGGAGACTCACTAGGAAATATCAACTTTGTAGGCAAAAAGGTAAAGAACTACAACAGCAAAAAACAAAAAAAAAATCATACCAAATTATTACGGGAAATGTCGCATATTCAGAAAACCTGGGAGGAGCTGTCCTGACTTATCCAAATTAAGGGACAGAGATCTGCAATCACGTATTTCAACCCTGCCTACCTCCGGTCACATGTTTCCTGGATGATACTTTTATGATTAACCACCTACCATGTTTCCCCGAAAATAAGACCGGGTCTTCTATTTATTTTTCCTCAAGAAGACACCCTAGGGTAATTTTCAGGGGATGTGTTATTTTTTTAAGTACGGCACAACCATCTGCATTGATTTAAATAGAGTGAAGTCGTCTTCTTCTGGAACATCATCCTCACTCTCCAGACCCCAAATCCCATCCTGAATGTCTTGCGACTCTGTTTCCTTTAGAGCCACCGGCCCCGATCTCTCCTGTCGAGCACTAGAGCTCTCACGGGGCGGATGAGAAGGGCTGCTCGTGTTCTTTCCCGCTCGACACGCATGGGTTGTGCAGATGCGCTGCGCAGCCACGCCCGTCACCAGGGCTGATTTTCATAGCCACGCCCATCACTAGGGCCTATTTTCATAGCCACGCTCATCACTGGGGCTGATTTTCATGGCCACGCCCATCACGGGAGCTGATTTTCATAGCCACGTCCATCACTGGGGCTGATTTTTTTCATAACCATGCTCATCACTGGGGCTGATTATCGGGGTAGGGCTTCTATTGCGCACGTTCTTAGACATCCTGAGGGGGCTTGTTTTATGGGTGGGTCTTATTTTCAGGGAAACATGGTCTACTCTTAGAGACACCTTCTATTCTGCCTTACAAGCATTTTATAATCAGCTTCCATAAAACCCCATGCGACCATTCAAGAACTGGGCTGCACGGGGTCATTCACTGAATGCATCTGCAGGCTCTGCTGTGTCCAGCTGCTATTCCCAACGCCCGGGCACACCACTAAAAAGGAACAGAAAAAGACAGGGCCCTGGCCGGGCGCAGCAGCTCACGCCTGTCATCCCAGCACTCTGGGAGGCCGAGGCGGGAGGATCGCTCGAGGTTGGAGGTTCGAGACCAGCCTGAGCAAGAGCGAGATACCCCGTCTCTACTATAAAAATAGAAAGAAATTAATTGGCCAACTACAAATATATAGAAAACATTAGCCGGGCGTGGTGGCGCGTGCCTGTAGTCCCAGCTACTCGGGAGGCTGAGGCAGAGATCGTTTGAGCCCAGGAGTTCGAGGTTGCTGTGAGCGAGGCTGACGGCCACCGGCACCTCACTCTAGCCGCGACAGAGGCAGACTCCTGTCTCAAAAAAAAAAAAAGACAGGCCCCTGCCCTGACCCTGCTCGGGGGAAGGCGCAGGCTCACCTTCAGGTTCCGGTGGACGATGGGCGTCTGGCACTGGTGCAGCCGGGCCACGGCCTCACAGGTGTCGCAGAATATCCGCAGCACTTCCGGCTCCGTGAAGCCCGTCTGCAGCCTCTGGTTCATCTGGTTCACCACCTGCCCGGCTGCACAGAGAGCCACTCTGAGAGGACGCGCTTCCAGTGAATAGAGTCGACCGCAGGAGGGGTACACGGGCAGTATGGGTAACCCTAACACCTGCACCCCCACATAATATGCTAGAATAAAAAAAATAAACAAAGGCCGGCCGGGTACAGTGGCTCACGCCTGTCATCCCAGCACTCTGGGAGGCCGAGGCGGGAAGATCGCTCGAGGTCAGAAGTTCGAGACCAGCCTGAGCGAGAGCGAGACCCCATCTCTACTAAAAGTAAAAAAAAATAATCTGGCACAGACTAATATTATAAGTAGACAAAGATTAGCCGGGCGTGCTGCGCGCATGCTGTAGTCCCAGCTACTCGGAGGACCCCTGTGGCCCGGCGGAGCGGAGCGTCCCCCCACCTCCCCCACCCTTTGACCGGCGCGCCGCGTCGGCGCACACCACCGCTGCCATGCCCGATGCCCGCCCTCCTTCCGGGGCCCGTGAGCCCGGTCCCCGGCCCTCCGCTCTGCGACCCGGGACCCGGGCTGGGCAGGGAGGATCGTTTGAGCCCAAGATTGGAGGTCGCTGTGATCGAGGTGGCGCCACGGCACTCTCCTAGCCTGGGCAACAAGCAGCGACTCCGTTTCAAAAATAAATAAATAAATAAAAATTCTTAAAAAATTAAAATTAAATAAAAATATAAAAAGTCTACCGCAAACAGATTGAGAAATGCCTTTATGGCTACAGGCTGGCGTTCTCAAGATTCTTACGGAAGGGTGCTTATTATATATCATGTCGTGCCGATTCAGTGACAAACATGCTTTCACAATTTACACCTCAGGGATCAGTACATCTTAAGACAGAGTCCTGTTGGCCGGGCACGGCAGCTCACGCCTGTCATCCCAGCACTCCGGGAGGCCGAGGCGGGAGGATCTTTGGAGCTCAGGAGTTGGAGACCAGCCCGAGCAAGAGCGAGACCCCGTCTCTACTATAAATAGAAAGAAATTAATTGGCCAACTAATATATATAGAAAAAATCAGCCGGGCATGGTGGCGCATGCCTGTAGTCCCAGCTACTCGGGAGGAGGCTGATGCAGGAGGATCGCTTGAGCCCAGGAGTCTGAGGTTGCTTGAGCGAGGCTGACCCACGGCACTCACTCTAGCCTGGGCGACAGAGTGAGACTCTGTCTCAAAAAAAAAAAAAGAGTTCCTGATAGAGCAATTAAGAATCATAACTGTATTAAGAGAATGTAAATATAAACCAGCGGGCTCACCAGAACCTAATTGCTGAGATAGCAGCATGATTTTTTTTTTTAAGTTTGGTAGGAAATAGATTAATTGCCAGCTTTGCACACATTAAAATTTTAAAATGTTAGGGCTTTTTAATGATGATGATGATTATTATGAAAGCATACTACACAAGTAAACATTTACATAAAAATATCACATTAGGTCCTAATAAAACGTGGTTTTCTAGCTTCTGATATTTACAAAAGAACAAAAACCCACATAATACAATTTATAAAGAATTAGTATGATCAAAGTGCATCCCTACATTTTGTTAAATTAAATGTTACAATAACACGGTAGAGTGCTGAAAAATCTTTACTAGTATTGACATATTATGCTCTTCTTGGTTGGATTATAAAAGAATGGCATAGAGAGCAATCGTAACAATTTACCTGCTTAGATTTCCTGTTTTAAACTGAACTGCACTTTTCTAAGTCTCCATTTACATGCTCATATCATAATCGCAGCAACTGTGATCTTATAAATAATTTTTTTAACAGCATTCCTAATTAGATAATGAAGGCTAAGATTTCAATAAGCGTCTAGAATGAGTTAACAGCTGCCCTAGGAAAAATCAAGACACCTGGTGAGCCATGTTAAGGGGAAACTTTTAGCATAACACAATACAGAAAGATACTTACCTCGACAATATTCCATTAAGATAAGCACCTCCCATACATTGTCGCTAATTGAATTAACAGCACAGTCCAAATAACCCACGATATTTTTGTGACCAGACAGCTCTTTCTGTAAATAAAAAAAAATTAAAGCTGAATAATGTACATTTTAAAAGCTGTATAATTTAAGCATAAATTAATGTATTTAAACAATTTCAAAAGGTAAGAATGTATGAAACCTAATGTTTCAACCAGCACAACAAATTCTGTGGTTTCAATGGAAGTTGACCTGCTGTCTATCATTTTCTAACAGACGAATGTCAATGAATATTTATTTTTATGAGAAGATGGTTCAAAGTATAAAGATATTCTTTATACTCCAAAAGTGTATACAAGATAATCTTTTGGGATTCCAAAATAAAATATCAGAATTTTTTTTGATTTTTTTTTTTTTTTTTTTTTTGAGACAGAGTCTTACTTTGTTGCCCAGGCTAGAGTGCCGTGACGTCAGCCTAGCTCACGAACCTCCAACTCCTGGCTCAAGCGATCCTCCTGCCTCAGCCTCCCTGGTAGCTGGGACTACAGGCATGCGCCACCATGCCCGGCTCATTTTTTTCTATATATTTGTAGTTGGCCAATTAATTTCTTTCTATTTTTAGTAGAGACGGGGGTCTCGCTCTTGCTCAGGCTGGTTTCGAACTCCTGACTTCGAGCAATCCGCCCCCTTCGGCCTCCCAGAGTGCTGGGATGATGGGCGTGAGCCACCACACCCGGCCCAAATTTTTCTAAATGTGTATAAACCAATAAGCAGCTTGCCTAAAAGTTGGTTCATGGTAGAATACAAAACCAAAAAGAGAAAAAAAGAAAAGCCAAATTTCTGAAGCAGAATTACTCTTTCCCTTACCATAATTGTGATTTCTCTTTTACAAATGTTAAGGTCTGACACGTTATTGACATACATCCGCTTCAATGCACATCGAATTCCACCATGAGTCCGCACCAGGAAAACTGTGGAGAATCCACCTGTAGAAAGACATCACCCATTAATTCGAAAGAATCAGAAACAACTGCCCAACTCATATGATATCACCATGGAGACTTAATATCAACGGGAAATAAACAATGACCCAAGACAAAAATAATCACAGTAAGCAACTAATAAATTACAAGCAACAATACTGGCTTTCTAACGCAATCATGAAGTAATACTTAGAGGAAAACACAACTTCTCAAAGGAACGTGCTTCTCTTTTAAAGGCCAAAATATTAAAAATTGCACATTTTGCACAGGAACGTCTCTTACGTAGTGTGTGAAAAAAGTTAGAAGTACATTATTACAGTTTGTCGTGTACCACGTTTTCCCGAAAATAAGCCCTACCCATAAAATAAGCCCCAGCAGAATGTCTAAGCATGCCCACAACAGAAGCCCTACCCCAAAAATCAGCCCTAGTGGTGGGCGTGGCTATGAAAAATCAGCCCTAGTGGTGGGTGTGGCTATGGAAAGCAGCCCTAGTGGTGGGCGTGGCTATGAAAATCAGCCCTGGTGGTGGGCGTGGCTGTGAAAATCAGCCCTAGTGGTGGGTGTGGCTATGAAAATCAGCCCTAGTGATGGGCGTGGCTATGAAAATCAGCCCTAGAGACGGGCGTGGCTGCGCAGGGCATCTGCACGACCCATGCGTGTCGTTGCGGAGCGGGAAAGAACACCAGCAGCCCTTCTCATCCGCCCCGTGAGAGCTCTAGTGCTCGACAGGAGAGATCAGGGCCCGCGGCTCTAAAGGAAACAGAGTCGTGAGACATTCAGGATGAGATTCAGGGTCTGGAGAGTGAGGATGATGTTCCAGAACACGACGACTTCACTCTATTTGAATCAATGTAGATGGTTGCACCGCACTTAAAGAAAAATAACACATCCCCTGAAAATGAGCCCTAGGGTGTCTTCTTGAGGAAAAGTAAGTATAAGGCCCGGTCTTATTTTGGGGGAAACAGGGTAGTCGTGATAGTTGGAGGTCAGGAGTTTGAAACCAGCCTGAGCAAGAGCGAGACCCCATCTCTACTATAAATAGAAAGAAATTAACTGTCCAACAAGAAATATATAGAAAAAATTAGCCGGGCATGGTGGCACATGCCTGTAGTCCCAGCTGCTCGGGAGGCTGAGGCAGGAGGATTGCTTGAGCCCAGGAATTAAGAGGTTGCTGTGAGCGAGGCTGACGCCACGGCACTCACTCTAGCCTGGGCAACAGAGTGAGACTCTGTCTCAAAAAAAAAAAAAAAAGAAAAAAGAAAAAAAAAACAATTATGTGAAAGTCCGCACACTACAAAGAGCATCCCCCCCACCTCAACCTGAGGTGCAGCCAGGCATACAGGGCTAATCACAGAAGGAGGGAAGAGAATTTCTCTTCTGGGAAACTGAAAGAAAAAAAAATAAATGCAGATACTGAAATTCAGTAGGCACACAAGGAGAAAGTGGCTTCCTGCCTTCCCTCACTGAACTGAAGCCTTCAGATCAGGAAACCCTCCCGATTTGCACAGAGCACTTCCCTGGCCACCACTTCAGGACTTCTCTCTTTAATAAAAAGAACAGACGCAAAACGATGGTCAGACACTCCCAGAAAACCTCACCCATGACAAGGGATGAAAAACAAGCAAACAGAAAGAAAGAGCTTTGAAGAGGTGCTGGGAGGGAGCCACAGAAATCCCTCAAAGAACCTATCAACACCCCCAGAGTTGAAGAAAGATACCGTCCTCGTAAAATGAGAGCAGGGTATTTGAAGAATGAGAGATTACTTTTGCAAATCAGAACAGAGAGATCAAAAGCAAAACCTTCTGCAGAGGAGCTAGAAGATAAAAAAAATTAAGGAAATGCTCCAGAAATTTTCCAGAGGATGAAAGAAACAGAAAGACGGGAATATTAAAAGGAGTCTAGCAGATTCGATATCACAGTAACAGAAGCTCCAGGAAGAGGAGAGAGAGAAAATGAAGGAGAAAAACATATCAAGGGTCGGGCGCCACGGCTCACGCCTGTCACCCTAGCACTCTGGGAGGCCGAGGCGGGCAGATTGCTCGAGGTCAGGAGTTCGACACCAGGCTGAGCAAGAGCGAGATCCCGTCTCTACTATAAATAGAAAGAAATTAACTATCCAACTAATATATATAGAAAAAAAAAAAATTAGCCGGGCGTGGTGGCGCATGCCTGTAGTCCCATCCATATCCAGTCACCTGACAAATCAAAGAGTCAATGTGTAGGCACAATTAAGCTAATACTGTTTTTTTGTTTGTTTGTTTGTTTTTTGAGACAGAGTCTCACTCTGTTGCCCAGGCTAGAGTGAGTGCCGTGGCGTCAGCCTCGCTCACAGCAACCTCACACTCCTGGGCTCAAGCGATCCTCCTGCCCCAGCCTCCCAAGTAGCTGGGACTACAGGCATGCGCCACCATGCCCGGCTAATTTTTTCCTCTATATATTAGTTGCCCAATTAATTTCTTTCTATTTATAGTAGAGCCGGGGTCTCGCTCTTGCTCAGGCTGGTTTCGAACTCCTGACCTCGAATAATCCGCCCGCCTCAGACTCCCAGAGTGCTGGGATGACAGGCATGAGCCACCGCACCCAGCAGCTAATACTGTTTTTAAGTGAGCATATTACATGCTGACGGCATCATTTTCCCAAACATTGACACTCCATTGTCTACCTGAAATTAGTCTGACAACTTTTATACACTTTCACGCTCTATGCACCTGTTTATCTTGCTGTCCATTTATATTCTTTATAACAAACAGTAGCAATAAGTACAGCACTTTCCTAAGTTCTGAGTCACTCTAGCACATTATCAAACCTAAAGGAGGGTCAAGGGACCCTCCCCCCAAATTTCTGCTCAAGTAAGTTTCATCAGAAGCGCTCAGTGGGGCCAGGTACGAGGGCTCGTGCCCGTAATCCTAGCACTCTGGGAGGCCGAGGCAGGAAGACTGCTTGAGACCAGCGTGAGCAATCCATTTGTACAAAAAAATTAAAAAAGTAAGAGAGAGACCCCCAACTCCCCCAAAAATAAGAAATAAGAAGCGCAGGTGGCCCCCAAGGCTTACAGCTGGTCTGAAGAGGGGGCAGTCTTGTGGAAAACTCAGTCCCTTAACTAACTATGGCAGGGGTCCTCAAATTTTTTAAACAGGGGGGGCCAGTCCACTGTCCCTCAGACCGTTGGAGAGTGCGCACTGCGGGCCCGGGACGAGTCGGCTGTCCTGACAGGCAGCGGCTGCAAAAACACCCGGCGGGTCGGACAAATGTCCTCGGTGGGCCGCGTGTGGCCCTGTGGGCCGCAGTCTGAGGACCCCTGATATGGGGTCTGTGCTAGCTCTCAAAAGTGTCAGAAGAGGAACTGAACTGCTGCACACCTAGCAGGTGTCAGAGAGCCGCTGTCATAACACAGCTACGGGTATGTCCCATCCCCTGCCCAGGGAAATGAGAAGTACGAACTCAACCCACAGTTAAGAGACTTTTTAAATCTGCCCCGGACTCAAAACTGATTTTCAAGGGATCATCTGAAAAGGTACTGGAAGTCGCAGCCAAATATTTCAGAGACCTGCAATGCTGAGCTGATGAGTACTTGAGGGATATTTATTTATCCACGCAATTAGATTTCATGTTTCAGAACGCTTATTTCAAACAATCACACAGCTTCCCGCCCACACTGCCCAGAGACTCGGCGCTGTTTATCAGTAAGTCTCTCCCGCTAGGTGCTCAGCAACTCAGAGAGGGCCTCACACAGCAGTGACTGCAAAATGAATAATCGGTGTGCTCAGAACATAACTATGTGGTCACCCATGAATTAATCAAAGGGGGATTTTTTTAAATGCCTTGTTAAAACGGGACTTATGCTAATTTCTCTGACACGACATAACTACGAATAAGTGTCCCAGCGGGCTGAGAGAAATAAATTTAGTCAAGCATAACTCACATTCAAATTATGCAAACCTGAATGCCTCTCAGCTCCTAATCGGCACTCTATTTCCAAAGAAGTGAAAATCCAACTTGGAGGAAGTGAGAGAAAATTAGATACCATTAAGTGTTGTCTATAAACTACAGTTCCCAACTCGTGTTCTAGCTCAACTACTCAGATTCTCAAAAATGAGACAAATTGTCAGTGGCACTGGGAGAAAAAGTACCCAAATTGAGGAGCAAGAAAAAAAAAAAGTTGAGCAGTAGCATCATTTAAAAATTGATTCGGGCCGGGCGCGGTGGCTCACGCCTGTAATCCCAGCACTCTGGGAGGCCGAGGCGGGCGGATCGCTCGAGGTCAGGAGTTCGAAACTAGCCTGAGCAAGAGCGAGACCCCGTCTCTACTATAAATAGAAAGAAATTAATTGGCCAACTAATATATATAGAAAAAATGAGCCAGGCGTGGTGGTGCACGCCTGTAGTCCCAGCTACTGGGGAGGCTGACGCAGGAGGATCGCTTGAGCCCAGGAGTCTGAGGTTGCTGTGAGCTAGGCTGATGCCACGGCACTCACTTTAGCCTGGGCAACACAGCGAGACTTGATCTCAAAAAAAAAACAAATAATTTCATATAATGTTTAAGATCATTGGACTTGATCACTAAAAGAGGGAAAAAAAAAGAAGAAAATAATAAAAATCTTTACAAAAAATAATTTAAAAAAAGATCACTCAGGATCCAGTTCATACCAAACAAATCATCTATTTGCATATGTAGGTATACGCTAAGAAATTCAAATATTAGTATGTTAATATCAACAAAGTTATTGGGCACTGGTTTTTCACATCATTGTCATAATTTAACACAGTTATCAAATACTTCCTCTTGAAACTGACTTTAGAGAACACCATAAATTATTTTCAATAAATAACTTCAATGTGGAAAATTTCCCACTGAACAGAATTTCAAAAACAGTTATACATCATTTCTCGTGAATCCACCTGAATGAAGAAATAAGTTTTTGATAAGGTGGAAGGAGTGTTTGGAAGCCAGTGCATGACAGGTCAATAAATTAAGCCGCGTATTTTATAAATGGGCCCTGAGA